ATCTCATGACTCTTAACAATTTATATAGCTAATTTTGTTGTACCCTTGAAGTTATGTGCCTATTTTAGTACAAAAAAAATGAAATTTAGTACATTACAAATTTAGTACGTTAACTTCAAAACCAAAAAGGCACACACGGTGAGCACAGTTGAGGTACAATACATAAATTGATTCATTTTTGGGCTAATGGGGGGGCTAAATGAACCGACCCAAATTGCGTAACTTCAGAAAAGTTCGCCCTTTAATTAATAGATGACTGGAGGAATGACATTTAAATGTAATTTGCACATCGGACCCAAATGGTATAAAAATCCCAGATTCTCACACTTGTGAATTAAAGAACAAACTTGATTCTTGAACATCCACAACATCAAGCAGTTTCTGAAATTAAAAAAACAGGCCCATTCATATTGATACACCTATCCAGGATGCTTTAGAAAATATCGAGGAAAATATCTTCAATATGCTCTTAGTTGAAATGCTTTGAAGATAAATACAAATTAGAATGTACATACTATTATTATAATCTAATTCACAAATTATGATCATAGATAATAATTATGAAATCAATAAGACCCGTTTTTTAATTCTGGAAAATGTGTGTTGCGAATTCTGTCGTGTAAAAAAAGCTATTAATGGAACCAGCTACAATGAATGCACCGTGTATGATTGGCATGAAACGAATTTTGAGCCACTTTTATAAATGACCATAATATGAATATCGCAACACAGTTTCTTAATCATCCGTTAAAACGTCCAAACTTTAATTGAACAACGGCAAATTTAACGGTTACGTACTTTACCGATCACTTAATATAAACATTCATCGATACCTAACAGTAATTTTTGACCTGATAACACTCATATTTTTTTATTAAAACACATTTTTCAATTACATCCTAGTTATTTGAATAATTATTAACAAGGAAAACTGCGTTAGGTAATAATAATTGTTATTAGTAGAAGAAAGGAAAGTAACATGGCATTGTTCTTTCTGTATTGGATTTAAAAATTTTAATATTCATAAATTTTCGCTAATGCCACCGTAAAAGTCCTCGCGTATTAGGCCTATGCGTCCTTAATTTAAATTCGTTTTATCCGCCTTGTTTTATTTTAAAATATTGCTATTGTTGTTCCAGTTTATGCGTCTTTTGTTTGGTATAGATTTACATTTTACAAGTAGCTAAGTAAGACAGCTTCATTATTTATATACAGAGTGTTTTCGTACACTGAACCTCGATAGAGGTAGAAAATGCTACACTTACTTATTATAATTATAGGCAATTTTGGGATTTTTTATTGGCATTGGGTCAGAAGTATGAACTAAGTATATAAGTGCGTCAAAATCTGTCAGTTTGTTTTTCTAAAAAGCAAAATTCATGGTCAAGTATGCGAACGGAAACAACAAAGAAGCAGTTTTTCTGGATGTGTTGTTGAGAGAGTATGAAGCAACCCTGTACATGCGACACGAGTTATGAGTTCTTATACTTTTACAATTAAATTTTAATTTCGCCTACCGAATTGATTGAATTTCGCAATTTGCTTTGTTTCCGATTAATCAAAATTCGCCTCATTTTGGCGTAAAGAATTTTTCTCAATCTCGCCGTATACCTTTGGCTTTTATACGCGCGTCTAACGAGCAATGAAAATTTTTAATGACATTCGGCATATAATCAAAAGTAGAAAAGAGAACGAATTAATAATTTCATTGAAATCGAAATAGCGTTTATAACATTTAATTCGAAAAGACCACCCCTATTGTTCTAAAATTAACAATTAATTTAAATCTTTTGTTGAATAACAATTATAGTGGGAAAGTAAAAGCGGAATTGATGCGTGTCAAATGCGAAATGTAATATGACGATGATGGAAATGGCGAGGGACCACCCTGAGTGTTAAATGCTACATCCATTAATGGAGACAAAACGTTTCACTTGAATTCAATTTACTTACATCACTTAATTTTTACAATACAGTCTCGTGATTGATATGACTGGAAGTCCATAGGTCATTGACCACGATTCGTAAAGTGCAATTTACGTTATTTGCTAACATGTCCCGCTCAGTGTTAATTTTATTTGCGATTTGCAATTATCACATTGAAATGAATAAAATAGTGCATAAAATGAGCGTATGATATTTCTCATTTAATTTCATTTATCGTGGAATTGTAATTATGTGAGAAATTAAACGTAGTTTTACCTATTCTATACAAATTGTCCCACAGGTAATTTGTTTCAAAATATTCTCTGTGGCAAATCTTCAAAACAACCCCCAGTTTAAGTTTAAGCCCCAAGCTTTGTTACCCATCTTTGGCCCCACAAGTTTCAACTGAATTTTGTGTTTCCGATCGTGTTTCTAGATGGTGTACCTACTACATTACATTGAGGCTCGTTCATTATTGTTACTAAAACTTGCATGTTTGTCATTTCTTAAAATTTATTTGTTACTTACCATATACAGTGTGTTATAAGAGGGTTACCTCAACGTCTATTTTAATTGGCGATATACGATTTGTAGTTGCTTCAAAAATAGTAAAAAAACATAGGTAGGTATAGTATTTGAAAAACAAAAGTTGCATCAAAGGAAAAGGAGCTTTGGCCATTTTTACGCATCTCGAACACACTGTATATGAAAAATCGTAAGTATAAATGAACTTATAACAATAGTTATGGAAAATTATACAATACGAAAACCGATGCGTCAGAAATGAGACAAAAGTAATACATACATACAGTAGAAAACGCAACTAAAAACATGTGGGGTCCCTTAACCCTAGTCGGTAGGTACGATAGGTAAAATTAAAGAATTTTCCAATTTTTTTCAGGGTCAACAATGAAACTTTTTCATTCAATTAACCTAGTGCCCAAATAAGAAAAAGTCATAAAAATCATAAACTTCTGTTGCCAAAAATAAGGGTGCCATATACATTTAAGTTTTAAATGTGGCCAATTGAGCCCTCCTGGAGTTTCTAGTGTTAATGTAACGTCCTTCTACTTAAATTATACACGAACCCAGAAAAAAAGTACCTCGTTTAGAAAGTAGCATAATTCGCTTCGTATTTAACCGTTTTTAGAAATTACGGTCTCAAAAATAATACGGAGGCACAAAAAATTCAAATAAGTGCGTTTATTCGTCATTGCTTCCATAAAGTGTCTATAATTTACCACCCTGACAAACGTAGGCCCCTCACTATAACCCCATTTTTGATATTACAATTTTTTGCAAAGGTACTGTTAAAAAATTTCTATTTATTCTCCAATTTCATAAGAAAAATACATTGCCCTAACGTGCACTTCCACTTTTGGTCACCTTTTGGATAACTGTCCCGGAGCAAAAGGTTTAATACTCTCATTCTTAGTCATTGCACACAATTAGCTGTACGCAGTAGACGTTTTTACTAAATAGGTCCTAGCCAGCTTCTCAAATATTACCATAGAAAGACACTTAGGCAAAAAGGATTTGGTTCGTTAAAAAAACAGTCTAGAACCCAGGAAGGCGTTTCTCGGACTGAGTCGATATCTTTGATACGTTTTTTTCCCCACTGAGAATGACTGGACGGTTGTTAGTCAGATGTGGATGTGGGGAGGATTGGACGACATAATACCAGCCCTCCTGCAATGAGGACTGCATCTACCTAGTGAGATTATGTACGGGTTGTATCGCTTTCAGATACAGACCTAAACAATGGAGGGGGTAGGAAATTGTCTCTATTTTTCTCAAACACTTGGTATAGAAACAAAAATCCTTTTCCTTGTAATTCCATTGAAACAGAACGAAAATACGCTTCACGATTTTTGTGTTTTTATGTGCTTAGAATAGACTCTGAAACAATATTTCAAAAATTTAAAAAAATAATTTTGTGCAATAAATTTGAACGAAAAGAAAATATTCCCCCGAGGGAGAAGTATGCGCGAATTAAAGTGTCGACAGGAAGTTCACGAGCGAACAAACTGAAATGCTTAAAAAAATCTAAAAATTTTACGGGTCGTTTATTTATTTAATCCCCTACGAAGTTCAAACTATTACATTAGCGTTGGTTGAAATTCCTAGCCCGTTAATTAAAGAACTCCCATTGCAATTAAAGATAATGCAAGGACGTTGCGATCACGTAAGGCCAGGTCAAGTATTAATTGTGCACTGTGGAGCTTCTTGCGGCACGTTAATTTTTGAAAAACACAACTTGTGTTATTCGTTCTAACAGCACAGAGAATAAAATTTGACACATACTTTTTTAAAAAAATCCCTGGAGATCACGATCATAGAAAAATTAAATTTTCAAAAATCCGAATTTTCTTTAAAATCCAATGTTTATTGGCATAACACGCACAAAAAATGGTCCAAAATTTAAATATTGAAATTTCTTCTAGCACCCCCTTTTAATTATAAGCATCCCTTGAAAATTTTAAATTAAAAAGGGGCCCGTGTGGCAGCTTGTTTGAAAGAGACTTTAATCCTCTGTTTAGTACTGTACATTTTTTGAAGAAAATTAATTTTGAAGATTTTGATTACGTATGTTCCCGTCAAAAACCATCGAAGAATGTCACATTTATTATTATTTAGAATATTTTTCAATATGCTTTTACAGTTTAATCGAAAAATATATAGCATTCTCTACTTAGGAGGACGTTAAAAAGAGTAGGACCTAAGGTACGTACCTATGGCAGATTTTATGACAACAGGCATACAAGGTGACTCAAGTGTTAATCGAGCGAGCAGCATCGGTTTATGTAATAAAAAGTTTCATGATTTTTATTGCTTAGAAGTAGAAAAATAAGACTCACTCCGCCATATACATTATTGCAAAATCAGTAAAATTTCACAATAATTGCGCAAAAGTTTGCACAACTCTAATTTGAATGGGGGAGTGAGGGGGGGGGGGGGGATGTAGTACCTATTTTTGTGGGAAAAAAGGAAAATACTGTAACAAACTACGAATTCATACTTAACTTTTTTAGTGTAGCAAAAGAATTAGGGTAGAAAGTACTTGGAAAGCTTACCTGATCGCCCATGTCGTAACCGTTACTTTGAAATGTCTGAGGAACACTGAGCGCAACGTCCAAATTTTCAGTTCTCTGTAAAGAAAAACGCATACGTTAGCCTTACGTACAAAATGAACTATTAACTAGAAAATCAATAAGCAACCCTCAGTGTAATAACACGAAAACTTTCCAATATGTTGCATAGTTAAGTCTGAGAAACAAAATTGTTTGCTCCTCTCTCGGTTAATTGAATGAAAAAGTTGGGCAATATATTAAACGCGCAAAGGTAATTTAATATACAAGATGCGACAGACGTATAAAGTAATTATACCAATACAACTTTACGGTGGATGGGTTTAATTCTAATGAGAAAACTGTCAATATTTATTTAAATAAATCAGCGGGTATACTCGAATTTAATTAATTCCAGTGGAAATATGATAGTTGACTAATAACATTGATGTTTATTTATGTCTACCAAATGAAATCGGTTTCCGAACTTCCAACAGAAACTATGTTTACGTTTCTAGGGCCCAATAAAAGTATCGGGAATATAAAATAAAAGCAGTTAAGCTTTGGCGTTTAACCCGCAAAGGATTTGTATCCCCAAAGCTAAGACAGAAATGATAAAATCTCGTGAAGGGAAAGAACAACACGAAATAAATGCGTACCTATCCGATTTAAAATACAGCGTACCGATTATGTATGGAATATAGTATATATCTCGGTAAATAACGACTGTGTATAACATTTTTCTATATAAAAGTTGTTTAATATTTTATTTCCCATAATAAGGCAGCATTCAGTTGTTTTTTGGTCTCGGAGAAAACAAATGAATAACTAAAAACAATTTATTTTTTTAAAATAACAATGTACCCTTTCATTACGCTCATTTGATAGAGATATTTACTATGATATTCTATTTCCTTATTTTAACACATTTAAGGAAATTCACGGTTCTCAGCTTTCAGACTAAGCGATGCAGGAATAACACGATAGTATGAATATAATGCCGAAAATGTGAAAGTTCTACGATAAGTACAAAATTCCACATGTAAAAGATTCAAAAAAATTCTCACAAAAAATCGTATATTTATAATAATACAGAAATGAAGGTGCAAAATTTGATTTATTCGAGAATTTATCAAATGGTTAACGAATTTCATTTTTATGGTTTATGGCACTCGATTTTTCATAAAAAAAACACCCGCCGGCATGATATGAATTTTAGCCCGGTTACCACGTAAAAAACTGCGTTGCTAACTAACAGAGGATGACATCTTTCTTGATTCAACGCAAATCGACTATAAAACATCGTGAAGGAAGTTTTTATTGGTACAGATTTATACATATAGGTACAGAAATGTGTTAATTTTAAAACTATGTTAAATTTCGCTCTTTTACGCCGAATTTGGGGCTCTACAACTGTCATGCGTAAGGTTTTTCATTTGGAGTACCTTACTTACTTCATTTTTCTGCTACGATCTTTGACGATCGATGATTTTATGTGAGATGCTCTGTTTTCGAGTTAGGTATAAGCGCAAACTTAAAAAGTGTACATATTTCATGGTTTTTCGTTCCCAAAAGTCTTAAGAGCTCGTTCAGATTAGTCAGAAATTAAAATTTAATGTAGGGTGGATAGAATCAGTTATCATCCGATTTGAGTTGGCACTTTGAAATTTAATTTTCTGCATGAATTACGACCTAATTAGAAACTTACAAGAGTATCTTTGCACAAGAATTTTGAGCTTGAGCCAAAATAGCAAGCTTAGTTTCTGTCGTCATTTCCATGTAAACAATATTGCATTCTGTTCTGAACTTCATTTTATTTCGCGATCAGCGTCCAATTTTTGGTAAAAATGACAGATGCGATGAATTGAATGAGTTTTAAATGATGAATCAGACAACTCATCAAGCCACTTAACGGTCTAACTTCTGGGAAATGATTCACAATTAATAAAATACATAAGCGAAATTTATAAACAATTTAGAAAGATTCGAAGGTGAAGATTTGAAAAGCTTCTGCTTATAGTTATAACTAACTCGTTTGTTGTTTAAGGGATATCAGCAAAAAAGAGCCTACAATTCAAACATAGTGATTCCTGAATTGGATTTCAAGTAGGAATGGTAGTAACCAGGGGCGGACTGGCCCGGGGGGCGGGTGGCGATTGCCACCTGGCCTGTACGTCATAATGGCCCGTTGGAAATTTATAAGTATGTGCTGTATTTAGTTTCTTGCACTATTATGACGTTTCTCTAATTGGGGTTGATGTTAGGTTGTTAAAAAATTAAAAAATTCTGTTTTAATTGAAGTGTTTTACAATGAATTTATCATTTTTTGTCGTAGCATGAAAGTGCTGAAATACAATGATAGGCGCCGCGCCTCGTTTGGATTGTATATTTTGTTACTTTTAATTATCAGCTGCAATTAAAAAAAAACTGTATTGTAATTGATTTCCGAAAAAGGAGTACCTTAAAATGAAGCAAAAAATGTTTTTGTGGTGCACCGCAGAGCTACCCCCCGCCACCTTCAATACTACACTAACACTTTAATGGCCCGTAACCTATGCAATTCCACCTGGCCCGCCCCTGACTAGAAACCAATTTCGAAAGAAAATTCAAAGGGCTGTAACTTTTGAACTAGAAGCCCAATCTTGGAACTGTTTGAAATTATGGATTCTACAGGCCACATTCTATAAGAAAATTTTTTCCGGGTCGATCTGAGACAATTTTTTTTTCGGGCCTCAAAAAAAGGCAGTGTATAACCTTCCTTTTTTACCAAAAATCGACTACACCAAAATTTCTCGGGAGAACACTTTTTCTTATTAATTTTGGTGCGTAGAATCCAAAACAATTCGTACTTTTTCGATCGGACGTCTCAATCAAAAGTTATGGACTAGAAACAGGGGCGGACTAAGTAACTGACTACGTATGGCACAATTTAGAAAGGGTATAACAGTAAAAAATATTTTAACGTTTGTTAGTGGAAAGAATTGCCATAGAGATAAAAAAACACTGATTACATTTGTTGCATTCCTGTTGAAAATATGTGACCACCCATCCCTCGTCCGCAGATCCCCACTCAACACAAACCCCCTTCCTCAATCTCCCATACCATCCCAACAACCTGCCTACATTACCCTAGGCAAATCTTCCACACCACCACCACAGCACGCAGATCACCAATCGCTAAATAGGTACTTCAAAATTCAAATCTCCTCCCACACCACCACCTACGCAGCCTACAAGACGGGCTCGCACCCTTCCAAGCTCCCCTTCCACAAATATTCAGGACAGGCGACCTATTCCTGAACTATGACAAAAGATGCATATACGAGATTTGAGGCCATTTTTGGTTACAAGCGTATACAAACTTGTTCCAACGAGATCGAAAATAGGGCGCCCCAGGCTGAAATCTGAAACGTAATGTTCCATATTTTGTTATTGGTATAGATATTACGCCTTTAGGTTTTTTTCACAGTACCTATCGTCATTAATTGCATTAATGGCATGGAAACAGTAAGTCATACTTGATATTGCAGTATAAATCGCTCAAATGCCCAGTATGACCCACTCTAAAGTACACAAATGTGTAAATGTTATGCCGAGGACTGCTACTTATAAAAATAAATGAATATCGCTTTATTTTCGTAAGCACTTTTTAAAATTTTTATTTTGCCACTCGGCTTGCCTAAACTAACAAAGAATTCAAAATTTACTGGGATTCTGAACACACGTGGCCATTCTTTTAAAAACTAGTACAATAATTTTAAATCTAAAAAGAAACCTCAGTTTCTAAAAATGCCCTGCATGTAATGTACCCTGGAACGAATTTAGTGCTCATCAAACAACACAGACGAAAATAGAAACAAAGTGTCACTTACTTTTAGGTACTTGTTCTTTCACGATGTGCAATTGCAATCCTCTACGTTTTATATTTAATAACGTGCTCGAAAAAAATACAAAAAAATAAAGTAATATTTTGTATCACGTTTTTTATATTTAAACAAAGGATCACATTCTGGAAATTTCTCTCTTGAACTAAACCAGCAGGGCCCTTAATAACAATAGAATCAGTCAGACAAAGGGGGCGGAGTTCTTTCGTAAAACAAAATAATTTATTATTGATTGGTTTTACGAGAGTGGTCCGTCTTCTGCTTTTCACTAATTCTATTCCTATGCACTCAAGAATAAGGGCCCTGGCGACCAACAATGTCCTACCTCTCTCCCAGTTTGACTTCAGACCCCTTAGATGCCCCCGTTCAACAAGGGCAACTGCACTCTTGCACCGTCCAACACAGAAACATAGAACCTATCACACACAGGCATCCCAACAAACAAGATTTGCGTACTGCAGAGTTCACGACGACATCGACACCCCATCCGCCAAAGAAATCCTAAAGATCCCTTGCAATAAATCCGTCACACGAGGCCCCTCAAAAAACCCAAAAAGAAATTAAAATTCCCTCTCATAAATCTACACCAACTGCTCAATGACCTACCCCAGGAATTCGAGGAAAGAAACAATTATTTGCTTTCTTTTTTTTTCAGGTAAGGGCCTACGAACCGGAATCCATCACAACCGCCCCCCAAAATCAATTCAACGCTGACTCGAATCTTCATTGTATGCATTGTATTATATCAAATTATTTACTAACCAAGGACTGAAGATGACACAAGTCCTGAGCAGTCCACAATTCCTTCATTACTAACGCCATTATTATTCCATCCCTATTAATTATAATAAATATATTGATTGGTGTAATTTGGTAGGGACAATGAGAGTCCTTGGTTGGAATCAGGGTTTAGGCATGGGCAAATGGGCATCTCTGCAAATATAAAAAAATTCTTAATGTTTTCTCTTTCACGAAGACCAAATGGTGGCTGAGAGTGGAGAAGATGAAAAAATCGTTTACAGATTGTGGCAATTGTGCGGCGAGTGCCGTAATTTATAAATGTGATTGCAGCAATGTTTAGCAGCCTTACGGAAAAACCTTGATAGAAATCAATCTTGAATGTATGTAACATTAAAAGTACAGTCGCTGTGTCGTGGTTAATATCCAGATTTGCACAAAAGATTGTAAAATGAGAAA